GCCATGTACCTGCAGACACAGACGGGAAACTGGCTCAGGTGGAGGAGGGCCGGCTTTCGCGCCCTTCACACGGACTGCTTCTAAAACACGGAAACCTTTTGGTTTCTGAAGCTTTGATAATATAAATTTTTAGTTACCGTATTTTTCGGACCATAAAGCACATTAAGCGAAACAAAACAGATGAGTCAAACTACTCCACTCATTCTTCTTGCTTCCTCCACTTCTGTACCATCGATTCATTAATGCTGTATTCTAGCACAGCGGCTCTGTTCCCATGTTGCTGCAGTATATTAATGACTAACCTGGTATTGTGGATGGATGATCTCAGCTGTTCCCTGACTGAAGTTTGGTCCGTTTACAGCATCCTGCCATGCGACTGCATTTGTCTCTAACCACATTAAATCGTTTCGAGGTCAGTACGCACAACCAGGATTCATACATGAGGCGCGCCGCATTATTAGACGCACTGTCGATTTTTGAGAAAATAAAGGATTTTAAGTGCAACTTATATTTTACCTTTGACCACCGGGGGAGAGAGCGTGCTGAAAGGCGTACCTTTGCTCATGTGTGCCACAGACATGTATGGTTTGTTGTTATTAATATCTCCTTCATACCTTAATGAATCACTATAAACGAATACAAACATCAGTGGGATGATGAAATCAACATAACAAACAGAATATAGTCAACGCTTCCTGAATCAGCTGAATCATAATCATCTGATTTTTTAATGTTGTGATTTTTAATGAATCACAGTCTAAAGGTCCGGCTGTCAGTATCAGTGCATCATCAGTTACATAGCAGCGCTGCATTAATCTAACATTGGTCTTACTTTGACCCAGAAGGACTGGCAGCTGGACGATGAGCCTGTCTCAGTCCAAACTGCCGGGTCCTCTCAGGGCCTCTTGGGTCCTCTCAGGGCCTCTTGGGCCCTCTCGGGCCCTCTCAGGCCCCCTCAGGCCCCCTCAGGCCCTCTCAGACCAAACTGCCGGGTCCTCTCGGGTCCTCTCAGGCCCCCTCAGGCCCTCTCAGGGCCTCTACGGTCCTCTCAGACCAAACTGCCGGGCCCTCTCAGGTCCTCTCGGGCCCTCTCAGGCCCCCTCAGGCCCTCTCAGGGCCTCTTGGGCCCTCTCGGGCCCTCTCAGGTCCTCTCAGGGCCTCTCAGGTCCTCTCAGGTCCTCTCAGGCCCTCTTGGGTCCTCTCGGGCCCTCTCGGGTCCTCTCGGGCCCTCTCAGGCCCTCTCAGGGCCTCTTGGGCCCTCTCGGGCCCTCTCAGGTCCTCTCAGGGCCTCTCGGGCCCTCTCAGGTCCTCTCAGGCCCTCTTGGGTCCTCTCGGGCCCTCTCAGGTCCTCTCAGGGCCTCTCAGGCCCTCTCAGGTCCTCTCAGGTCCTCTCAGGCCCTCTCAGACCAAACTGCCGGGTCCTCTCGGGCCCTATCAGGGCCTATCAGGGCCTCTGATTTGGCTTTTTATCCTGTTCCCTTTGGAGGTTTTGCTCTTTTACAAAGTAAGACTGTTTTTGTGGTGGTTACGTACTGACGGCACCGTCTGGACACGGGACGTTTCAACCTGGGACTGTGAGGACACGTCAGAGATCTTTCTGCTGTTTTTCAGTGCTGTCATCGTCTTGTCTGTTATGAAGGCGGAGCTCCTTTTCCGCCTCTAAAATCTGTGGACACATTTCTTTCTTGGTATTTCTGCCTGAATGGATCAGATTGGTTGAATGGAGCTTTAGTTTTTCAGGATGTCCCCTCTCGGGGGTTCTGGTGTTTCTGTTGATGTAAGACTGTGTTTGCAGTTTCAGAGGAGCTGAGCTTTGATGTAAGCGAAGCAGCAGTCGTGTTGGTTGGATTTAATGGATTGTGTTGTTACCAGCTGCAGAAGTGTTTGTACCCTGAGTCGGTCTGACACGCTGCCAGATGTTTGGATGTGTTCGCTCTCAGGATAACGAGGAAAGTGGAACCACTTTGTTGTCCCCAGATACACAGAAGCTCTCTGGAAACACTAACAGCCGTCAGCCAGGCGTGATGAAGGACGCGTGGAAGACCGCCGGAGCGCGAGCTGCCCGGTTTCACTCAGAAACACGGGAGCTGCTTTTGTTGAAGCAGAATGTAAACCCCGTCTGTCAGCTGGTCCGCTCTGGAATGTGCTTGATGTGGAGCCACCGTCAGGACCCTGCACATCATCAGCGGCCTCGCTGCTGCCGCCACACGCTTCGACTCACACGTTTCGAGTGCTTATCTGGTTTCTTAGCGTGACTCAAACATCATTCATACTTCGGCTCAAGCACACCTGAGGTCACGTGACAGGAAGCATTAATGGAGAAAACCTCTGAAGATTGATCTGAGATTACAAGGATCCCACCCCGGGGCGGGCTGATGGTCGTTTAAAAGAAGCAGCATTCCCACAGGGGTGTCAAAGTAAGGCCCAGGGCCCAGAATCGGACCGGCAAAACTCAAATATGGCCCAACTGGTCAGCTTAAGAAGATGTGGCAGTTTTTACAGATACTAACGAGTTCTCAGTAAATCAACAAAACCTTCATGTTTAATATTTAATGTGCAATGAGCTCCACTTAAGATCACAGTGGGCTTCATGCTGCCCACGCTGCAAGAAAAACAGTAAACTTTACAGTAACTGTGCAGTAATTGAATTTGCAGCACTGTTACTGTAAATAAATGACAGGATATGACTGCATTTATACTACTGTAACGTTGTATTGATTCTATATTTTTCCTGTAAATTTCCTCAGTATTACTGTAATGTTTGCCAGTCATGTTTTACAGTGTAGCCTCTCCTCTGACGTCTGATTGGATGAAGCATGATGCTCATGTTGGAGGTTTTGATCCCGTCAGAAGGACTCCAGACGCTCTGATCTTCATCAGCGAGTGATGTCGTACTGACCTCGTCCATCTTTCAGGCACAAAGTGAATATTTAAGATTTAAATGGATCACCTGTAAGGACGTCCATCCTGGTAGGATCCTGATGGTTGTTTCAGAGGACCAAACCATGAACATCAGCAATCATTTCAAAGAGGAGTGGACTTTTCTGTTCCATACTTCTATTCTGTAATAAAACATCCTGGCCTTTACGGAGCCTCTCACTACCTTTTTAGCTCCTCCTACTCTCAGACCTCCCTCTGGGTAAGTCAGTTTTCCTCTGGTTGGGCAGCTTCTGGAAGCCCACTGAGGGGCAGCTCTAAGTGCTGACGCTGTGGCAGAGATTCAGCAATATTATAAACCGAACGGCCGTTACCCAGGATGTTCTCACACGGAACATTTACACGCCAAACCAACCGAAGCACAAACAGAGGCTCTGTGTTGTCTGCTTGTGTTCCCGGAGGTGAACCCACCTGTCCACGGCGATGGCCAGGAGAGCGTTTGTGGACACGTAGAGCGAGACGGTGCGCAGGTAGTTGGTGGAGGCACAGAGCAGCAGGCCGTGCTCCCACGACAGCTGCTTCACCACGTAGTAGTCTAGCAGGAAGGGACAGCAGATCGCTGCCACCAGCACGTCCGACACGGCTAGGTTGGCGATGAGCAGGTTGGTCAGGTTTCTGAGCTGCTTGTAGCGGGCGAGGCTGGTGATGAAGAGGCAGTTCCCCACGCCGCACACCAGCATGATGCCCACCAGCACCACGCCAATGACTATGGTGGCCACGAAGAAGGCCCGCCCCTGCGTGGTGTCCAAGATCTCGTCTGGGGAAATCCCGTAATCTGGGAAGACGCCCACCAGCACTGAGCTGCTGTTGGTCGAGGTGCACATTTTGGATCAGGTCAGCATGCTCGCACTGCTGCGCCTGCAGGGACCGGACAACAAGGCAAGGGTTAACCTTTGAAATTTGGGAGGGGCCAAAGTTCACGTTTCAACCGATCAAAAACACCTTTCTATGACTGGTCGCTGTCGTGAAGCTCACCTCTGTTCTCAGGTCAGAGAAGCGAGGACCCTAACTAGAGGCTGTCATGGTTGCAGTAATAAAAAGGTTGACGGTTAGCGGTTGGCAGTGACTAAAAGTGGACCCACCAAAAGATGCAGTTCCTCTAACGGCCAGTTGAGGCTAATGCTAGTCCTCACAGACTCACAAACACAGAGCTTCTCACCGCAGGGGGCGCTCTCGAGTTCATCCAGACTGAACGGGGCAAACATTTTTGTCTTCTGTATATTTTTAAATAGGAGGGTTTGAGTCAGTGGCTATAGTTCAGAGGTAACATATTAACGATCCTTTGGAAACCACCATCGCGGCAACGCCCTGTCCTACATCATTAACCGACCAATCGGCACGCACTAGCAGAACGCTGGGGGTTTTTTATGGACAGCGTGAGAAAATTTACACAGACTAAAATAAAATATTTTTGTCTAGGAACAGCGCCCCCTGCTGCACCTGCAGCTGAATTATAGCAGGTTCCTGTACAGTGATATTAACAGGAAGTGGTTTGGGAGCATAAATGCATATAACAGAGCGCCCCCTTCAGGCCAGCCTGTGTTTCTAAAGCCATTACTGCCATGACCGCTGATGGCTTCTTTCCCTGTGTGTTTGCTGCAGATGGAGCGTGTCGTTGGCCGCTCGTGGTGAGGCAGGATATTTGGTGTGCAGCAGTCGTCAGATTCGCCTGCAGGCTGGGGAATGTTGCATCTCAGCTCTGAAAACTCGACGCAGGAGCTTCTCACCAACCTGCCTCCTGATTGTTCTTTGTGCTGCAAGGAGCTGCTGCTCACATCATCGTTAACCCTTTAGCGCAGCACGCGGTGTCCTGTGGGGACGAGTCTTTCCTGCCGTTGTTGTTTTAAAATGTTTCACAGATTATTGATTCATATACTTTTAAACAGACTCGGGAGCTTACATCGCTGAGAAACAGACAGTTTAAAAAGCTTTCATGCAATATGTCATTATAAAAACACAACATTAAACTGCACTGCTTTAACGTCTGCTTAATGTTTTAGTGCTCATAATAATTTCAGTGTATATATATATATTTTAACAGATTTAATGTTTATTTTTAATAATAATAATATAATAATTATTATTAAAAATAATAACGAATAGACCCCTGTGGAACTATTTGCATGTCCCAAAACTTTAGTTATAAACGTATTCATGACTACGGTCGCTTGCCTGCTCTGATGGTTGGAGACGGTGGAGTCGAGCTGAAGATGTTCAGACGTTTGGTGGGGTGAGCAGGATGGACCTGAGTCCATCAGAGGGACACCTCAGAGTCAGAGAGGTGGAGGTGGTCTGAGCATGTGCAGAGGGGGTGTGGATATACTGGACAAAGGATGAACAGACATGGGTTGTATTTTAGACTAAATATACTTCATTGTAATACCAGCTTGTACCACAGGGGGGAGCAGTGAGTCTAAGTCATTTAAGTGTTGATTTACGATGGTGAGCTGAAAAAAGGCAACACTGTTTAGAAAAAGACTAAAAGGTGACATTTTAACAAACTCGCTGGCTAAGTGCTGCTCCCTGCTGGTGACAATCTGAGTTGTATTTTCCAGATGGTAATTACAAAAAGTAGCTGTAATGTTTAGGATCTGACTGACTGGAGCATGATGATTATATGATAACATAATGATAATACCGAGAAATAATAATACAAAATATTTAAAAAGAGAAACATTTAAACGGAAAATTTTGTCTTAAAAATAAAGTGAATATATCAGCTGACACATGATCAATTTTTTCACGTTTCACATTTTGTTCACAAAAAAACGTAATTTTAATAAAGCTGTGATACAAATGCAGTGAAGAAGAAATAAAAATAACAAATAAGTTCAGATCAATTCCTTGTTTTCCTGTCACTACTTGGTGCAGCAGGATCAGATATTTCCGAGCATCTTTTAGCGACTGCTGCCTGTATAGCTGAGACCTCTCTGCCTCCACAGCAGATTAAAAATGAAGCATTAACCTTCCTCTGAGACTTTTGGCCCCTGATTTCAACCCCTGAACCTCATGTTAAGAAATCAAAGCTCAGCAGCAGAGACAGAAACACAGAAACACACAGAGAGTCTCTGATCCTACAGATTAAACACACTGACAGTGTGTAAAGCAGATTTTAAAGCATAAAAACAGAATCAGAATAAAGTTTCAGAGGGTAACCCCCCCCTCCCCCCCCCCCCATGTGACCCGAGGCTGGGTGTGAGTCCTGTTAACAATAAATCAGCTGATCTGAGAGAAATAAATAAAAGATGTGGAAGGATTTCATACAGACCTGAAAATGCTTCTCTTTCTCGCTCCGCTCTGCTGAAGGAAAAGAAACGAGCGCGAGCAGCAGGCGCGCTCCCGACGAACAGCGCCAACCCCCACCCCCTCCCCCCACCGCCTCTGACAGGGGAAGCCTGTTTGCTGCTGTTATTACCAGGATATGACCTAGTTAAGACTGTGTGTGATGTGTGTGTGTGTGTGTGTGTGTGTGTGTGTGTGTGTGTGTGTGTGTGTGATTTCTAATGCAACAATTACCTGTGAACCAAACATTAAATTATGTGAGAAAAATAAAATACTTACACATTTCCCACAAGTCCACCAACTACTGAGCTCTCGAGCTGTCACGTGACTTTGGGACAGGCCTCCTGTTTTATCTTTTCATTCAAGATCTGTTCACATGTACTTAGCAAGTACATACACATGAAATGCAAACTATTTACATGGCAACGCACAGCAGGACGTCCCGTACAACGAGCAGGTTCGTCCTTTATTCCACCTTAAATGTCCCGTATACTGACCTGCAGTGCCACGTCCTGACCAACAGATGGCACTCTTACAAATAGCTTTCGTCCAGTCATGAAGGTGTTACGTGACTCGTAGAAATAAGGCGCTGTTTGGTCTGCGCAGCTAATAACCCGGCGAACTTTAGCTCCTGATCTATTTGACCAGTTTTTGTTTCAAAGGAAACGCTCGCGTGATTTCCGTATATTTCATTAACTGCATTTTTCTTTATTGCTTAAAACGAGGTATTAAGAAGCTGAACACTAACATTTTACAACAGTTTTATTATAACATGAAGACGGTGCATATTTACACTCCGCCCAGCTGGCTGTGCATAGTGCTCGGGCACGTCAGACTGTGTGTGCTTGACAGCTAAAAAGTTGCAACCCTACTCTGGGACGAACATTTTTACTTTGAGGGCATGAAGACAGTTCATGTGTCTGTGTGCAGGTGGACGGCCGTGTCCATGCTGTCCGCGACCATTGCTTTTGGGGTTTTCTGCAGATCAAAAGGAGGAAAAATGCGCCCACTCTGAGCCCGACCCCGGCGACTCCATTATCAGCAACCTCTGAAAACAAGGCCGTGAGCCGACAGTCAGCTATGAAAGCATCACGCAGCATTCATCCACTGCTCATAAACCCTCAGACGTCTCTGGTTTCTCTGCTTTGATGTTTCTGCGATGAAGCTGACGAGACCTGCAGGACCTCCGAGAGCAGCCTGGCAGCATCAGGCGCTTCCATAAACACACTGACGCACACAAACACATCCATCATCCGTTTCCAGGGATTTTGCCGCGATGACGAAAACCAGACTGACTCCAGATCTGCTCCGAGGTCCACAAACTGCTGCTGGCTTTGTTTCTCAGCATCACGTCAGGCTGTAATCGCTCATACAGAGGCCCCAGCTAAACACCTGCACCACCAGAGCTTTTCACAGGAACCCAGACGACTGACTCCAGTGAATCCAAGATTTCAGTGTAAAACAAACACGCCCACCCACAGGAAACTCCCACCTGATGAGCTGCAGGGTCTCCGACTGACTGTTTCCTGTTTCATCCTCTGGTTTCCTGATATGATCTGCTGCTTTATCAACATCGATCATTAAAACTGAGTTTAACATGAGGCTTATCTGTGGCAGGACGATCTGTCGGTCCCGTCTGTGTCAGGCTGAGATTTCCTGTTTGGAGTTCATTTAACGGCACTTCTCCTCCTGTGAGTGCGGCCCACTTAGCTTCCTGCAGACCTGTGACTTTAGTTCACACAGTTCAGATACTTCAGGGTCTTTCTCAGAGTGATGGCAAGGTGAACATGAGGTGGGGCTAAGTTTCACAATGAGCTCACCCGAAACTCTGGCTGATTGGGACCCACACCCAGTTTCACACCTGGCTCATGTGATTAGAGGATCATCAGGGGGTCCTTTTGTCCCTCTGTGGGGGGTCACTCCCACTAGGTTTATATCTGGGACTCTCCACCATTTGACCTTAGAACTGAAGAAGCTTCTCGGATGAGAGGTGAAACGTCTTCAAGCAACTTAAAGAAGTCCAGACGCTTTTCTTTGCAAGCTCCTTTGACTGAACAAGAGGTGGTGTCAACATCAGCTTTACCTGCCCATCTACACCCCAGCCTTCACCTGTGGCAGCGGCTCAAGCGTCTGATGTGGTTGTAGGAGCGATCGTGGCTCGAGAGTTGGGACTTCGTCTTGTAATCGGAAGGTTGCCAGTTCGATCCCCGGCTTTGACGGTCTCGGTCGTTGTGTCCTTGGACAAGACACTTCACCCGTTGCCTACTGGTGGTGGTCAGAGGTGGCGCCACTCTGTCAGTATGGGCTCAAGTTGTGGTCATAAACATTTTGTACTATCAGGATTTGTATGCGTTAAAAAATTTGTGTGTGGCCAAAAAACTACATGAGAAACTCTGCACTCAAGTTTTAAGTTACAACTACGAATTTTGACCCTATTTTTCTTCCTTTCAGCTGATTGGTCAATGTCATGTCAATCACAAATTTAACTATCCAATCAGAGAACAGATGGGTTTGGCTGTCGGAGGGGCGCTTTTTTGAACTCCTTGAAGGGTTTGAAGCTAGAGGATCTCTATATAAATATCCGATAGCAGCTAGGTCCCCTAACTTTCACTGAGTCACAGTGCGCAGCATAAAAGTCCTTTCACATCGGACGCAGGATGTGCTGCTAATGCTAACTGCTAACTAAAAGCAAAGGATCCAGAATTTGTTGCTGGCTGCTGGGCTCTGTGGGTTTTTGCAGCAGCTCTACCTGTACTAGATGCACCTGCTCCTTGTCGTTTCTATCTCTGACTTTATGTCCTCTACAAGAGTTTGTTTTTTTTGCTGGTTCTTCAAATGTTCAATAAAAACATGTATGCTAATTCATAACGAAGAAAGCTTTGTAATGAAGACTGTCATTTCCAAAACACTGCCCGCCCCCACCCCGCGGTCCGCAGCGCTGTTGAAAAGGCTGTGGAAGTCCCTGTATTAAACACTAGGGGTGCAACGATACACAAAATTCACGGTTCGATATTTTTTCGATACAAAAAAATGTTCATGCATTTTTAATTTGTCATTTATTAAAATTATAAATATATATTTTAACTCAAAAGTACAGTTTTTAAATTTAACCCTAACCCTTGTGCGTGTTTTTTATTTTGACAGCGAATGCGCACCTGCGGACCACTTATGTGCAGCCCTGGTTATTTAGCTCATCATATTGCAGCCACAGAAATTCTTTTGTCCATGAAACCATAAAGCTGCACTTTCTTTTTGCCTTATAGTCTGATTTGTCATAACTTCTCCGTTTTGTGGTAAGCTTTTCTTTGGCTGTCACTTCTTCACCCTGACCTGTCTTATTTGGCTCAGCAGAACTGAAAATAATATCCTGCTGCTTTTACACACACACTCACATAAGCTCAGCGATTCTCTGCGCGATCAACCTCTCACATGTTTAAGCTGCGGGAGATTTCACTTGTCATGTTTGCATAGTAAGCTAACGATTAATAAGACGATGTCAGAGGAATTGGTGCACAAATTATCATCACTCACAGATCAGTGCTGTCGCTCTCTATACACAGTTCGCACGAAAGCAAAAAAACAAGCGCAAATTCAAACGCGATTTCAATATGTCACATATTGACAGTGGCTCACCGATGCCAATGACATAATTACCCAGCTACATTTCTGAAAGAATGCAAAAGCATTGACATATATTTTTCCGTACAATAGCCCGACGGGCAGGGAGAGATAGATTTTGGTAGCCCGACTGAAAAAATCGCTAGCTCCGGGACGTCGGGCTAGCGATATTGCAAGCCCTGTATCTGATTGAGGAATCACTCATCTTTGGAAAAGAGAGTTTATTACAGAGAAATGTCTCTTTCCAAAATAAAAGCTATACTATCCGCTTCTTCTGGGCTATATTCTCAGCAGCATAAGGAGAATCATGTGCTAACAGCTGTCTAAATGACTCGGCTAAAGTTAGTAGCATGCTTGTTGTTTTTGTCTTTGCACTAGGATGATGTCGGCGTAAATGTGCAGTCATATTCGTTGTGTTCCCACTAGTGCTTTCAGGTTAATCTCGTTGAAATGACCTTAACGCCACAACACGGCAAATCTCCGTTAACGAGCTACCGCCGATCGCTCCGTGCATGGGGCTAGACGGCCAACACGTTAACGAGCTAACTGCGCTAACACACTAGTTCACACCAATGTAATTGAGCATTGCATGGCACATCCAACATACTGTTTTACTTTAGTCCATGACTCGCTTACCTTCAGGGTCATACGTCACATGAAAACCAAAATAATTCCAAACGCCAGATCTGAATGAGGGTGGGGGAGGTCCATCTTGTAAGGAGAGCTTAACTTCTGTCTCGCTAGCTTGCCCTGCGCTCTTCCTTCTGACGATGCTGTCTGTGTTGAGCGCTCAGTGAATCTGCGTTCGACTACTCCGCCTAGGCTGCACTGTCGACCCTAGGCGGAGTAGTCGAACGCAGATTCACTGAGCGCTCAACACAGACAGCATCGTCAGAAGGAAAGTTGATAAAATAAATTACAAATGTTGTATTGTTCGATACATATGCGTACCGAACCGAAAGCACTGTATCGAACGGTTCAATATCGATACGAATATCGTTGCACCCCTATTAAACACGTAGACCTGTGACACAAAAATCACCAAACTCGGACGACCACAGACTGTTTTCCTTCGTGGTGATGAAGGAAAACGCTGGGTTGGCATGTAAAAGGGCATTTATTCCCTTCAAAGACCTGCAGTTCAAAAAAGCGCCCCTCGACAGCCAAACCCATCTGTTCTCTGATTGGATTGTTACATTTGTGATTGACATGACATTGACCAATCAGATGAAAGGGAAGAAAAATAGGGTCAAAATCCGTACTTGTAACTTGAAACTTGAGTTTCTCACAGATTTTTTGGCCACACACAAATTCTTTTTACACATAAAAATCCTGATTTACAAGTACAAAATATTTATGACCACAATTTGAGCCCATATGTCAGTGCGCCTCAGGGTGGCTGTGGCTACAATGCAGCTGCCATCACCAGTGTGTGAATGTGTGGATGACTGGATGTGTAAAGTGCTTTGGGGTCCTTAGGGACTAAGTAAGGCGCTATACAAATACAGACCATTTGCCACTTGGTTTCTGCAGACAACATTAAAGTGTCACCTGCTTCCCGACTGACCATCACGTTCCTTTCTGATGGAGTTGTGCGCATGTTTACATTTGTGCAGACAGAAATCAAAATTATACGACACAATTACAGGTTTGTCTGTCCTTAATCTGAAATATGCACACACATATATATGAGCCTCTGAGTGTGTATAACACTTTCATATGATGATGATGATGATTTAGAACTTCTATGATATTTTGGCGTCTGCAAAATGCACAGACCGTAAGATAAGATCCTGTTTCCAGGATTCTTAATGGACGATTATCCTGTGACTTGTCATTGGCCAATGAGCATCCGGTTTCACAGTTAGACCCGCCCCTCCTCGTCCAAGCTCCATTTTTGCAACCAGCACAGCAACGGCGGGCACGTTTACCTCGAGGCTTCAAATCTGGATTCATTAAAAAAAAGAGACGTCAAGGCAGCTACGTCCATCTTTGTCCCCGTCTCCACCACCAGGGGGCAGACACAAGTACAGCACGGGCCCAGTTTAATTGTGGCTGATATCCCATCAACAGCAGATGCTGCTGATGTTTTTACAGCGAGTGCTTCTTTACACCCATCTGATGGGTTCGGTTCATTTTGGGCACTCACATTACTTCAAACGCAGACACAGTGTGTACTTTGAAACATTTATTGTTTGTGTTTTAAAAAGCAGAGGCCTCGCACACTCTCCCGCCTCCTCTGCTGGTTATTTATTAATGTGACTGTCATATTTATCAGCGTACAGTGAATAAAGATCATTTGCATGCGTTTTCCATCCAGGATGAAAGATTTCCTCGTGCGTGTCTCAGCGTGGCTGCTCTCCGCTCACTTCTGTTGATGCACTCAAACATTTTGATTCATTTTCCTGCAGCTGCCAAAGAGGCAGATAAATTGAAGCAGCGCGGGGGTGGAAACTCTCCACAGGCGGAGGATGAACTCTGAATGAAACATAAAACCTGAGGTGGCCTTCCATCTTCTGGTCGAGGGTGTGATTCAGTCGGAGGTTTAACGCTCGGCCTCACTGGAGTGTTTATGTCTCTTTTAAGCTCCTAAAGTCACAAAAACTTGAAAACTTTTTAATCTAAACTTAAGACCCACAAGCTTCTTCCTCCAAATGTCAGCTGCATCTTCAGCTCTTCACATCGATGTGTCAGATATGGACGAAGCTTCGGGGCCTGAAAAGTCAACCTGCACTTTTTATGCTGGCCACCAGAGGGCAGTAACGTGGTTGCAAAGCCTATTTGCTGTTTCCTGATGAGATTTGGAGCTCAGTCTTTAGTTTTGGCTCAAATTTAAATCTATGATGATTCTTAGTCAGAAATGTTCTCCGGCCTGTGCTCATTGGTTCAGACCTTCAGGCGTCACACCGGCTTCCTAAACACAGAGACGACATCACAGCTGCACAGGTACATCTCACCCAGTCTAAGCCACAGCTGTACCGCCGTGTCAGGCACTCAGAGGGAGGAGCTTAAACAGAGGAAGTTGGCAGAACGATGTCCCGACGGCTGCACGACTTCCTGTGACGAGCACTCGTTCTCTGCTCACCTGTTTTCACAGGTTAGAGCACCAGAGCAGCATGACATCACATTCGTCTTCCCTCCCCCGCTAACCTGTTGCATCAGAGGCTTTTACAGCGTCTGCAGTTCCTCTGATGGCCACTCGAGGCTCCAAACTTGAGTCAGTCCACTTGTGATGATGTTTCAGTTCCAGGTGTCGAGGTTTCACTTTTACACGCCAGTGTGTGACTATTTGGTCAAGGTTGCCACCTCCATCTTTTATATACAGGCTGTGCTTCCTACAGGCCCTCATACAAACGCTCCACGTGTCGCTGTTCTTCAGACGGCCTGCACCGTGAGACCAAACAATAAAATACCAAAAGTCGATCCCACCCCGTCACGGCTGACTTACAGCTCCACAATCCCATAAACCCCTGCAGGCATCTCTGAGGAAATTAACAGCCGACATCACAGGAAGCACTGATGTGCTGACGGCGATCAATAACCCTTCTCTGTTTAGCGACACGACAGACAGGTGGAGGCAGGAAAACGACTGGAAAAGAATCTACAACAACGCCGCACATGTTTAAATCACTTTTAATAAAAAAATCACAACGTTGACAGAAACAAGAGGAAGAAGTTCTACTTTAAAACCCAGAAGAATCCTGTTCTGCTCATTTCTATCTTAAGGGGTCGGGTCTCGTCAGCTTTGTCGCAGAAACAGGTTATCCTAAGGTAAAGCTTTGAACAGCAGCTGGCAAGGCCCGATGACCATATAAGGACAAGAGCTCTGTGACATCATACAGACCCAAGCGTAGAAAAAAAACCCTGTAGTTTGAGCCAATCCTCCGTTCTGACACCTGTGCAGTTATAACGCATCTGCACGTTTAACCAGCCGGCGGATGGTGACACAGGTGGCTGAAGCGTCACCTGACCTGAGCGTGTTTGTACTGTTGGAGCCTTTTGAATGACATCATCTGACCAATAATACGGCTGCTGTGAGGTTACTGTACTAACAGAGGCGGAGCTTCACGTTTGGTGAAACTTTTGGATTTTAATTGGATGTTGTTGATGATCAACTACAACTCGGCTACGACAGAAATAAAACCCGAGGCTTTGCTTTAACAAGGTTTTCATATCCTGAAGACCCGAGACGAGCCGCCGGCGCCGCAGGCGTGAGCCAACCTGTCGGCATGACGACACGTAGCTTTGATCAATAATGTAAAAGCAGCCTGAGGTGAAACGCAGCGAAAACACACAGGCTCGAGTCGTCTCAGCGCTCACGTCTAAAACCACACAGGCTCAAACGCCGACTGGCAACCATGCCAACCGCTGGTCACTAAGGAGAAGAGTGCTCTCTAAACCCTCGTCAGATGACACCGTGACCTCTGAGACCTGAGGGGGTCAGAGTAAAAATGTGAGGCACGTTTATGAAAAATGATTTTATTTTACAAAATCAGAAGCAGCTCCGTGGCGTTCCTCTTAGAAAATATACTTAAAAAAACAAAAACAAACAGACGCCATTAGGCTGCGCACACCGCCAGACGACAGAAATCCCCCAAACCGCCAGCCCCGCCCCCCCTCAGTCTCTGTGTCCCGTCTCTGATTGGACGAGGCGACTACTTCTTGGCGTAGGTGATCTTCATGGCGCAGGTCGCCGTGATCCGGAAGCCCTGCAGCGCGTCCTTGGCCACACCCGCCTGAGTGTCGCTTTCAAACTCCACGAAGGCGATGTCGTGTTTCCCCGGCACGAGTCGCACTTCTTTGAAACCCGGAAACCTGCAGGCGAAAAACAAACGTTCAAACATCAGGAGGCTGAGCACGTTCAGATCTCTGACGTATGGAAACTCTGCTGGATGTGACCACAAACGTTTGAAATACGGACTTAATAAATACAATGTTACAACTTTAAACCTTTGATGTTTTCAGCTGAGCATAAATGGTCAGATTTGTAAATCACTGCATTTAGCTTTTGTTCACATTTGTTTAAAGTCTTAAATCAGGCAGCTCCGTCAAAGCTCAGCAGCCTCGTGGATGGAGCTGTGTGGGTGGAGCAGCAGGTGTGGGTGGAGCAGCAGGTGTGGGTGGAGCAGCAGGTGTGTGTGTGTGGCAGGACCACAGTGAGCTGTGCAGCACTCACTGGTTGAAGAGCATGGACAGCATCATCTCGTTGGTCTCCTCGGGGAGGTTACTGAGGAACAGGATGTAGTTCGGAGGGTTGTCTGGAACCTGCGAAGAGAGCGAGAGCCGTATCAGCGCCTGGTCACAGCACGCCGTTAACAGCGAGTCACTCATAACTCTGACGTATCCCACGGGTGAGCCAGAGACGGGAAACAGGAGGAGACCCGGGCCAGCGTGGGATTTATGTTCACTGCTTTCACTTTTCTATAAATTCTAACAGAAATTTTTAATTTTCTAAAAGTTATCCAGTTATTTTCCTGCTGTTAAAGCAGCAGCCGTTAGATTGCAACACACTGCTGTGGCCAGCAGGTGGCGTCGATCCACTGTTTGCAGCCACGTTAAAACAATGACAACAGAACGCAGGCTGTAGGCGGTGGGGATCAAACCACCGACGGCCCACAGCCTCCCACTGAGCCACGGCAAACCCCGAGGGCGCCATCACTCAACTTTGTTTCCTTATCAGGAAAAGGAGGTTTTTTCCGGCTCCTGTGGAATAACAGGACAGGCAAAGGCATGACAACGCTCAGGTAAAACTTACCTGCACCGCAGGTGTGAGCGCAGGAGGGGCCAATCCCTGCAAACAAGAAAGAAGACAGAGGCGTTAAACACGTTCAAAGGTTTCATCTCCAGAGGAATGGCGAACAGAGCAGAGTCAGAAATGAATCCAGCGCCGGGAAACCCGGGAACAGCGAGAGGAGAAGTGAGCGCCGAGCGGTTCACAGACTTAGTTAAACGACAGAATAAAGGAGAGCGCAGCTCCATCCTGGTTTAAGGCTCATTTACGTCCGCCGCCCGGCCCTGCTGCTGCCATTTCCTGTCGGAAACCCTGTTAGAGCGGCTGATGAAGAGGAGCCTGGCTGCTTCCACCTGCAGCGGCTGCCGATTTAGCCTGAAATGAGGCGGCTGATTTATATTCACAGTCCAATAAGGACGACTACGAAGCAGCAGCTGGAGGCTGCGACGGTCTCACGTAAAGACACGAAGTGCAGCTTCAACATCATCGCAGATGCTGGGAGACAGCTGCAGGAGCATCTGGATGACGTGGTTTACTGTTTATCGTTTGAAAGTACGCCGCGACCCACGTTAGACGACATCAGGGGTTCACGCTGGACAGACGGGGTCAGAGTTTGGCCCCGAAGTCCAGGTTAGAAACGTACAACATGAAAATGATCCGAGTGAGCGCGCGCACGCATCCACTACAGCCCGGCCCCCCGCGACCGGCCCGGCCCCCCGCGACCGGCCCGGCCCAAACGAGCACTAATTTATTTACAAATACATTCACATGTGATCATACCCGGTATTACATGAAGGGTTTCTGTACACAGGCCCCGCCCACACACCCTCCTTCATGGTCCTCTCATTGTGGGAGGGCGATGCCATGTCTAACCATAAACAGCTACCCGTTAACGTTGGCGGGGTTGCCACATAACGAAGACTAAAACGTTAAACGCACTTTTTCAAAATCTTTAAAAAAATAAATAAATCTTTGAAAAACGTCAAACGTAAAAAGAAACGGCGCCCCCGGTGGTAAAGGAGGGAACCGTCGCTCTGATCCACCAGACGAGAGATTTCCATCGCTGGAAATGTCTTCCAACACAAACCGACTGACCAATCACAGCAGCCGTGGGCGAACAGCTCACTTGGGCTGTCAGGGGAAATCGCTGTTTTTGTGAATGGAGTCTGGTGAACAGTAACTTCCTGTCTCACAGCAGGAACGAGGTGAAATGTACAGGTTTGATGAAGCAGTGAGGGGAGACATTTTATTGGCTCGCTCACCGCCGCCGGTTTCTTTGTGGCGTTAGCCGCCAGCTCCTGAGCCTTCTTCTTCTCTTTCTTCTTCTTCTCCTTGTCGCCATATGATCCTTTGACCTTGGCGATGACCTCAGAGTCGGTCTTGGCGTACTGTATCCTCTGGAAAAAAACAAAAGGGTTAAAGGCGCAGCTGCTCAGAGGGAGGAAGTCAGCGATGACCACGACGAAGGTGGCATTCCGGCCTACCATGGGCTTGTTGTAGAAGGGGAAGCCCTGCAGCTGCCTCAGGGCGTTGGTGGCGGCGGCGAGCTCTTTGAAGATGACGAAGGCCTGTCCCCTCATCTTCATCGTCTTCATGGCCACGATGTCGATGACCTGCCCGAACTGGGAGAAGAGCGCGTAGAGCGAGCGCTTCAGCTCTGTGGGAGGAAGATGAGACGAGTTCAAACACCCTCACAAACATCTCGACGTTCATCCCGGAGTCTTTTTATTTTTTTTATTATAAGGAGGGTCAAAGGTCACAGGCAGCTGGTTCTCCATCCTTGGTGATTATCAGTTAATTAAACTTTAAAGTCTTAAAGAAATGATTCATGGACGAAGCTTCAAGAGAAGAATCAGTTTGAGCTGCATTCACATCAGAAATAACTGAGAGGAAGATTATTACTGCGAAATCTAAACGTTTGTATCAGTAAAACTTTAACTGTGGAACATTTGTTTGATTTATTTATCTTAAAAATGACTGAACTGAGAAAGTAGGGCTCTGAGTCTGGAGCCACATCTGTGCAAGAACTTTATAAAGTTTACATGATTCCAACGTGTTGCTAATCAGAAGATCTCATTCTTAATGATCAGTACGGCCACTTCTGAACCAAATAAAAAAGAAATGAGAAGAAAACTGAAAAATGAAGAATTCATTTGACAGATTTGTCAAAACCTTTATGATTAAAACATGTTTTGAAACAAAGTTCAGAGTGAAGCCTGCAGAAAAAAGGCTGCTCGTTTCCTGCAAGAAATTCAGCA